TGCTACAAACTCCAGCACATCTTAGGACAAGGAAGGCCACCAGAATTGTGCACAAATAATGTTTATGGTTTTAGACACTCCAGGATGACAAAACAAATGGGAACCACGACAGAACTCCAAGACCCCTTTTCTTAAAAAAAATTCAGGCACAAACACATAATGATTAAGAAAATCCTCTGGGGTTTGATGATTACAGAGAACATCTCTCACTTCCTTCTCTAAATCAACCATAGTGACAGAGCATCTCACTGACTCAGGTACCACATACTCCTTTGTACCACCGGAACTCTGTTCATCTGACTCAAATGCCCTGGACCAAGCATCAAGTTTAACATCCCTGGTGTGTAAGACAATAAAAAGTTTAAATGCCCAAAAAAGTGCCAACCTTGCCTGTCTGGGGTTAAGTCTCTTAGCCAACTTCTGGTATTCAAAGTCAAAATCACAACATTAATCTTGGACCCCTCCAACCACTGTCTCCATTCCTCCAGAACCAGCTTTATCGTCATAGCTCCCGTTCTCCCACATCATAGTTCCACTCTGCGCTTGAAAGTCCCTTGGAGAAGAAAACACAGGAGTCAATCTTGTTATCCCTGGCTTCTTGGCAAAGGACCACCCCAACTCCAGTACTGGAGGCATTCACCTTCACAATAAATTGTCTTTTTCAATCGTGGAAAACCAAAACAGGTGCAAAAGTAAACACATTTTTGAGTCTCTGAAAGGCTCCATCAGCCTGTCCATTCCAAAAGAACTTAATCTTATCTGAAATGAAGGCATGACGGAGTGCAGGTATCTGACTGTTGGTAATGGTGCTTACATATGGTACTTGGCAATCTGATCAGGGGAAACCACAAAACCCAGGAATGACATAGTTTCAAAATAAAATTGGTATTTCTCTGTTTTAACAAAGAGCTGATTCTGCTAGAGGTGCTAGAAAAGCTCTGACATGCTTCTTATGGTAATCCCAATCCTAAGAGTACATAAGAATGTAATCCAGATATACAAAACACAATGTACCACAATTTCCCTGAGTACCTCATTGACTAAATGTCAGAAAACAGCTGCAGCGTTACTGATGCGGAAAGGCATGACCAAATATTGGTAATGTCTTGTTGGAGTGTTGAATGCTGTTTTTCACTCATCGCCCTTGCGAATACGTACCAAATGGTACGCATTGCGGAGATCCAGTTTTGTAAAGATCTTGCCTAACTGAATCTCGTTTCAAGGACAGGTGATTTGAGGAATAGGGCAGCGGTTCTTAACCTTAATTTAATAAAAACCTCGGAAATCAATGTAGAGTCTGAGAGAACCGTCGTTCTTGCCCTCAAAAAAGAAACCCACACCAGCGGGGGGAGAGGAAGGGTGAATAATCCCTGCCTTCAGAGAATCTGAAATGTATTTCTTCACTGCCTGTGATTCAGGGGCCGATAAGGAATACAACTTCCCCCTAGGGGGTTTAGTACCCAGTGGTAAGTCAATCCCACAATTACAAAGTCTATGCAGAAGAATTGCATTGTTCCTCCATTTATTGAATACCTCCTTTAGGTCATGATACTCCTCAGAGACCTTTGGCAGGTCTGGATAATATTCATCCTCCTCCTTTTCAGCCAACAGCTCTGGTTTAGCAGAACGTAGGCGGGAACCAGAGCAAAAGGTAGCCCAGTCCAAAACCTACATTTGCTGCCAGTCAATATGCAGGTAATGTTTAAGTAACTAAGTTAAACCTTGAACAATAGTGACCTGATGGGAATCAGAAAAGATAGCTGTGTAACATGATTACCCCCCACCACTAGTTCAACTGGTTCAAAATGGCCATCCAAGGCTATTACCTTGTGGGAATCCAGCAATGGAAGAAGCCTTATATCCAGTGGTCTGGCAAAGTCCCCATCCATAAATTCAGAATCAGTACCAGAGTCCACGAATGCAGATAGGTTATGACTGCAGGAATTAACTGACAAAGTTACAGGAAGCAGAAGATCTGAGGAGACAAAATGTTTGGTGTGGTTCAGCAGGATATATTCTGTATATTCCAGTACAGATCCATCTCCCTGAATACTTTTTCCAACTGTTTTTTATAAATTTTGTATGTAGTTTTTTTTTAATGTTTTGTCTCTCTTTCTTAATTTCCTACAAAGTTTCCATGACTCTGCAATCCAACAGGTCCAATTAGAAGAGATAGTAACTCAGATATATGAGATTCAGGGAGGTGGAGGATATCAGTGCATGTAGAACTGGAGAACAACCAGCAGAAGCTCTCAAACATCTAGTAAATCCAGGATCAGCAGAGCTCCTCAATCCTACAGTGGAGAAAACAGCAGCAGGGCTAGAAGAGACTATGAGCTAACAGGGTGGAATGATATCTTCACGGTGTGTTCAAATTAAAGATGAACTATTTGCCTTGAGCAAACAATTTACATGTATTGTAGAGGGCAGTACAAATGGACTGGACAAATTCCAAACTGACCCCTAAACACAACCCCTATGCACTAATCTCTGCTTTTGGTTTTCCTGCGGAGGCTGGGTAGGGTAAGAGGACTGTTCACCCATTAAATCTGAATCAGTGCAGACTCGCTGGAATTTGGTTGTGGGAGAAACACCTTCATTTAAGTCTTAGTTCCACTGGTGTGCTGTATCTCTGCCACACTGACAGAAACCCAGAAGTTATGAAAAAGAAAAATAACTTACTATTTCCAAAAGGGGAATTCTACTTTAAATAGTTGCAATTTACCCTATCAATTTATTTTCCAGAAAGGGGCAAATGCTTGAATTCATGTCAACCCAGTGAACAGTTTTTATGTGTTTGTTTGTGAAACAATGAAGCTGACAGATTTCATCCTGAGTGCAGCTCAGCACTGATTCAATTTTATTCCAACAAACACTTGCTGATTGGCAAATAATGGTTTCAATGAGTAGGCCTACCGGTACTGAAGAATCGACTCCTAAGTTATACTTTTTTTTTTTCAATTTTAAGGGATGAGCCTATAGGCCCTCTCTTAGAACCTATTGCTGTTTGGTTAAAGACAGAGCAGAATGAATTCTATATACATCTGACCAGAGCACAAAAAAATGTTTATAACTCAGAGTTAGACTTAGACAACTATTTCGTTTTGTATCCCTTTCAGACAGTAAATGATGATAATACAATTCTAATAATATGGTCCCTTTTCTGTACTTAAACAGAAACTGAAAGACATGGCATTTCTAAGTTTCCAGATGCCATGTGTGAAAATTACCTAATTTATCTACTTTAAAAATGATATGCAACATGGAACCTCAAGAACATATATAGAGAGAGTTTTGATAGGAGCAACTGAGACTTTGTAGATTATTAATGTTGCTCCCCATAAGGATGTAAACAAGCAATATATTTTGGATTTTTTTTTTTATCAATTCCTGGCATAGAGAGCATGTGCTGCTCCCATGGGAGCAAATGGGACAGTGACATGAAGCATCAGCGACAGGACCAAGCATGTGCATTTTTAGATTATCTGCCAGTCACAGACCTATGAGACATTTCACCTGTTCTGTGATGGCAGCCTTTATCAAAATTAATACATAATTTAACATCACAACGTTAAATGATCTATTAGTCTAAGCAACAATAATATGAGAGTAAAAAGCTTATTTACTGGTGTATTTGCTTCACATTCATTATTAAATGCTATTTTCTACTGAAAGGAATCTAAATATTTTATCTCCTAATTATGTTCAAAATAAAATTTTACATGATGTTAGCCTTTTTCAGACGTCAGTTTTAATGTTTTGAATTCACTATGTTGTTAATATTTCTATTTTTTTGGATTGCTGTAATAATATTTAATTTCTCTTATGCTATTACGTCAATGTACCGATTTACTGATTTCATTTTTTAAGTTAAACAGACTTTTTTGTTCTAAATGTTTCTGTTCTAATCAGATATTTCTTTATGTGAGCAGTTTCCATTAAACCCACTGTGACTCTGCAACACAACTGGTCTCCAATATTCAGAGGAGAGACAGTCACTCTGAGATGTGAGATCCATGGAGGTGGAGGAACTGAGTGGACGTATGAATGGAGAACAACCAAGAGAAACTCTGCAACATTCAGTGAATCCAGGACCATAAGAGCAGACAGTGACTCCTACAGCTGCAGAGGAAGAAGAAACTATGAGTTAACTCAATGGAGTGATTCTTTTTCATTAACTGTTTGTGAGTTATCCCTGTATTTTAGAAAATAGGTGATTATCTGAAATGTTTCAATTAGTTTTATCTAAACATTTTTTTTCTATTAAAACATTCAACTTTGAGCTGTTGCTTTTCGAAATATTTTATTTTATTTGTTTTAAAGTTTATGCTTAAAGTTTAAAGCAAATATTTCATAACATTAAGGATCTTATCAGCTTTGTTAGTGTCTAATATGATCACAACGTTGCTACAGGTGAGCCAGATTATGTTGACCAGTAGAGAACAGTTTAGGAAATGTTCTAACTTTACTCTTTTGTTTTAGATCATCATAGATTAAATCACATTTTTTAATAAAAAAATATTTTTCAGTGAATACTTTCAAGAACACCACATACATAAACACATAAACATTGTAAAGTTAATATTGGCTATACCTGGAAAATGAAAAAATAAAAAAATGCATAGTTGCCTACATAAATATGGTCAACAAAAAGTTGATCAATTGTTTATGTAAAATGTGGTTTTCAATTCTCAGGGGATCATGTATCTGATTTATTCTACTAGCTAAATGCGAGATTTATGGAGTTAAAATACTTCATTAAACAATATTCTTGAGATTTACTTGTTTTTGTTTTTCCCTCAATAGCAGAAAAACCAAGAGCCAAACTGACAGCAGAGGAAACAATCATACCAGCAGGGGGCAGTATAACACTGACCTGCTCTGTGCGCAGCTCTGCTGGATGGAAGTTTGACTGGTTCAGACACAGGTTATGGGATCCTTTAGAACAGTCCATCAGAGATTATGAACCTGATGGATTTCTCAGAGTCTCAGAGGGAGGTATGTACAGCTGCAGAGGAGGAAGAGGAGATCCAGTTTTCTACACTGAAGGCAGCAATAAAGTCTCTGTAAGGAAAACTGGTGAGTTTTGTTTCTGTTCACCATTGAAACAAAAAGTGATTTCAGATTTGTTCAATGATAGGGTATCTTTTTTTTTAAACCTAATAATGGTGTTCAGCGAAAAAAAAAAAAGTATACATTACTTACTGTGTTAAGTATCTTTATGATCCAAAAAGCATGATATTCCTCCTGCTGACAGATTCAAGATAAATGGTTGGTCTTTGATTAACTAAATATAATTGTTATGTTTTTTTTTTTTCTAATCTCACCTATATTGACATAAATTTGTCAAATTTTTTTCTTTCATTAGTTAGTATTTTATATTTCTTTATTTCATCAGTATTTCCTAGTAACTTGAGTCATAATAAAGCTAAAGGAAAGCAGCTTGTACAGAGGAACAAAGTCGAACTTTAAGCTTCAATCATCAAAGCCATGATGCTCTTTCTTTGCATTAGTTGGACTATTTATCTCTAGTTATCTTTTAGTTGTCAGATTTACTGTTTACTAATTAAAATACATGTATGTTAAACTAATATTCAATTAAAATTCATTAGGTTTTGGCATCACAACATTGTTTATATTTAACTGACTCCAAACACATATTACATTAATAATGAATTTTAAGATCTAACATTTCAATCAAAGTCTAATTCCTCCATCATAGTGCTGATGCTGCCTAATGATTGATTTCAACAGGCAGAGGTGTCAAGTAGCGAAGTACAAATACTTCACTACTGTACTTAAGTAAACTTTTTAGGTATCTATACTTTACTCCATTAATTATTTTCTTCCTACTTCTGACTTCTACTCATCACATTTTCACACCAGTATCTGTGTTTTCTATTCCTTACATTTTTAAAACAAACGTTACTCATTACTAGGGGTGTGGGAAATAATCGTTTTGGCGATATATCGTGATCTTCGGCTGCCCAATATAATATCGATCTTTCACTTCTTAGTATCGATTTTCAACAAAAAAAAATGGTTACATAAAACATTGATGGGAAAATGGGGTACCTCTGCACCACCACTCTGGCAGAAAGAGCTGTGGAGCCCTTTAACTGTGTGTGCAGCACCAAATCTGTATTTGAAGCAGTCACAGTGGAAGAAAAACCCCAAACAATATGGATAATAATACCTTATCAATATTTTCTGATGAAAATATACAGCACTTGCTGTTTTATCTCATCATTTGGTTTTGATAGCTCAGGAAAATATGGCAATATATAGTGATACTGCTGTATCGTGATAATATCATATCATGACCCAAGTATCGCAACATGTATCGAATCGCAACACTCATGCCAATACTCACCTCTAGGGTTGGGAATTGAAAAGATTTTCACGATTCCGATTCCCTTTTCGATTCTATGAAACGATTCGATTCTTAATCGATTCTTTTTTCGATTCCAATTTGGGGGAAAAAGGAGAACAAACAGTTTGATTATCAGAATCAACTTTGTTTACTTAACTATTGCACAATCTTACAAACTCAAAAAGATCAAGATGTCCACAGGAAATGTGAAACTGGAGTAACATCTGTGTTTAAATGAAAAATGAATACAAGAACAAACTTAATAACCAACAATGTCTAATAACAAATGATGGGATAATAACCTATTTTAAATAACAAAAAATACTAATTATAAAACAGTAGTAGGGAAAATTAACAGTTCTTTTGCAGAAAGATGAGCATATCTGCTTTTTCTGGAAGGATACGGGATCTTTCAGCGCTTATGGTGTCTCCAGCCGTGGAGAACACCCTCTCAGATGGGGTGGAGGAAGCCTGCACACAGAGGTAGTTTTCAGCCAGTCCAGATAGCAAGGGCAGCGTATCTTGCTTGTTCCACCACCACAGTGTGGCGCTATCCCTGCAGGGGATGGAGGGCAAGCTTTTATAGAGCTGGATTTCCTGATCTACCCTCTGGGCTAAGGAAAGACGGGGCTTTGATTCACAAAGTGACCGCAGCACGTTGTCTTCCTCCTCGAATAGTTCTTCCAACTTGCGTAACTTGCGTAACTTGCGTAAGTTGCGTAACTTACGTAAAAAACGTGACGTAAGTCGTGCTCCCCAGAGCCGGCGCTCTCGGCTCTGGTGCTGCGGGAATCGAAAAAAGAATCATTCAGCGAGCTGCCAAACGATGCCATGGAATCGAAAAATACGGAACCGGTTCTGAACAGGAACCGGTTTTCGATTCCCATCCCTACTCACCTCTACTCATTACTCTTGGCTTCAGTTTTATGTTTATAAATATTTATTTCATGTCATGTGTGCCATCCAATGCAGATCATTGGCGCCATCCACATCTAGTGAAAACGAGTGTAATTGGATGAATCATATAACGCAAACACTCATTGGTTAGCTAAAGGAAATCATCAGAAGCAAGCAGGTGTTCTTCAAACTGCAAATGTGAATTGTCTGTGCCATGTTACAATGTTGGATTCAGAAAAAGATTTTGAAATGTCTGAAAGGTCGGACACAGGCGAGACCAATAAGACCTCCCTCATCCTTGGCCCTATTTCAAAGAATTTTTGGAAATAGTCGAAAAATTTGCTTTCGATTCATATAGTGACATTTGGCTGTTATTTTTTAAAGGTTACTTTATGTCATGTTGGCTTTCAGGGATCTAACCCACATGCAGAACACTCAGAGGCTGGGAAAAAGTTCACAAAGTTTATTGAAGATAAATCACCATAAAGAACAACGATTTCTGGGATAACTGGGTCCGGGTCTGGTCACGACTGGTTTTCACTGCAGAGGAGGGACAGATTCAATTCAATTCAATTCAGTTTATTTATATAGCGCCAAATTCACAACACATGTCATCTCAAGGCACTTTACAGTTCAACCAGATCATACAGTCAAATTGATACAAAGTTTTCTATCTAAGGAAAACCAGTTGATTGCATTGACTCATTGACTCAAATACAATCCCCCACACTAAGCATGCTTGTAGCGACAGTGGAGAGGAAAAACTCCCTTTTAACAGGAAGAAACCTCCAGCAGAACCAGGCTCAGTGTGAGCGGCCATCTGCCGAGGCCGACTGGGGTTCAAGGAGACAGAAGCAGAGATACAAAAAGCAGCTGTAAAAGGCGGCCCCGTCCAGGAAACACACAGCCAGGCAGACGAGCTCCAAGGCAGCTCCCATGCCAGAGGACGAAGAAAGCACATCCACTCAGTCACGGTCAGAGAAACAGGACCACACTGGAAAACAGGCCGATCTCCAACATCTATAAACAAGGGTGTTGATAGAAGCAGCACAGCTGATGTTTCTTTCCAGGATGACGTCACAGCCAAACAGGAACAGACGAGGCAAAGCTACTCTGAGGAAAAGCAGAGAGAGCAGAAGGTTAGAGATTGAACTAACAGATTCTGCAGAATAGGAGAACAGAGAGAGAATGAAGCAGAATGATGAAATGGGGGTCCCCATGTCCTCCAAAAGTCTAAGCCTATAGCAGCATAACTATAGAGATAGCTCAGGATAACCTGAGCCACTCTAACTATAAGCTTTATCAAAAAGGAAAGTTTTAAGCCTAGCCTTAAAAGTAGACAGGGTGTCTGCCTCACGGACTAAAACTGGTAGTTGGTTCCACAGGAGAGGAGCCTGATAACTAAAAGATCTGCCTCCCATTCTACTTTTAGAAATTCTAGGAACCACTAGTAAACCTGCAGATTGAGAGCGAAGTGCTCTGTTAGGAACATAAGGAACAATCAGATCTCTGATATAAGATGGAGCTTGGCCATTTAAGGCTTTATATGTGAGAAGGAAGATTTTAAATTCTATTTGATTCGATTGGTTAGCAGTCTTTCAGTGAACTAGCTGGTTGGGTGTTTGCAGATCTATACCTGATCAGAGATGAGCAGAGCGGTAGAAGGGGGGAACCAGGAGGGTCCAGAGGCTGAAGGCAGGCAGAGATTCAGACAGGCAGGTTGGCTCAGGCATGCTAACCATAACTGGCAAACACTCTGGCATCGGATTGTAGCTCTGCCCCTCCTTAAATGCTGGTCTCCTGATGAGCTAGTGAGCCGCAGGTGTGGTGGTCAGCTTTCGCCCCAGGAGACCTAGAACGCCCTCTGCTGGAGAAAGGTGGACAAACCACCAGATCCCAACAGAACCCCCTCCCTCAACGACCGCCTCCTGGCGGTCCACAAGATGTAGATGGCAGAGACTCACGTTAGTCGTCAATCAAGGTGGGGTCTAAGATGAAGGACCCAGGGAGCCAAGTGTGGTCCTCTGGACCGTAGCCCTCCCAGTCGACCAGGTACTGCCAACCGCGGCCTCGGCGACGGGAGTCCACCATCCGGCGAACGCTGAAGGCAGGGTGACCATCAATGTCCCGGGCGGGTGGAGGGGAGTCAGACACAAAGGACTGGTGAGAACAGGCTTGATTTGGGATACATGGAAGGTCGGGTGGATACGGAGTGAGGGTGGCAGATGCAGGCGGATGGCAGACAGGTTGATGATGGAATCAATCTTGTAGGGACCGATGAACCTAGGGGAGAGTTTACGGGACATGGATCTGAGAGGAATGTCACGAGTAGATAACCAGACCTGTTGACCGGGAGAGTAGATGGGAGCTGGACGTCGCTTGCGATCATAGTATCTCTTATTCTGAGCCGATGTTCGATTTAGTGCTGAAATGGTTTCTTTCCAGAGCCTCTGGCAGCTGCGTATGTGATGGTGAATGGAGGGTACGGAGATTTCTCTTTCATCTTTTGGAAACAGGGGTGGTTGATAGCCTAGCGATACTTGGAATGGAGACAGACCAGTAGCGGATGAAATTTGAGTGTTGTGAGCGTACTCTACCCAGGGGAGGAACTGACTCCAGTCGGTAGGATTGGTGGACGTCAGACAGCGAAGGGTGGATTCCATTTCCTGGTTCATACGTTCAGTCTGCCCGTTGGACTGAGGATGATAACCTGAAGACAACTATACTTTGGTGTTCAGAGCTGAGTAGAAGTGTTTCCATACCTGAGAGGTGAACTGAGGGCCTCTATCAGAGAGGATCTCCTGGGGAA